AAAGTCCAGGAGAAAAAATTAACAATTCTGTCTTCAGAGCAGGGTTTGAATGGTGTGCAGTAAACAAAGCCTGGGGTTACACATTGAACCGTGAGGATAACACAAAATATTGAATAGCTGCTTGTATGTTGCAAGCAATTTATTTATTTTTATAATCTTAAATTACTTTGTACTTATTTACTTAGTTTCCTAATTGTTAGTTACACAGAAAGGTGTTCCCATGTCATTAACCAGCTGAAGTTAGAAACTCAAGAAAACACAGTTATTTGTGCATCAGAGTGTTCCTGGCCCACTCCTTGGGAGTGAAAATGGGCACTGGGAGTTACAGTTTTGTTTCTTGACTTTCAAGTGATAAGTGACATTTAAGATTTTACCCTCCTCTACCTACTCCCACCCACGGCTGTCTCCTGAAGAGGCTCTTAATATTTAACACTGATAAATGGCTGTCAGCAAAAGAGGCACTGCAGCATCCTTATATGAAAGAGCAACAATGATGGCAGTGTGCACTTTCCCTCTCCACTATAAGCCCCCTGCACGGCTGTTGCCCATACTTCTACCATGTGAAACAGTGAGGGTAATGCTGGTTTTCAATCCCCTGCCTCCCCATGAGTCTGGTATGTAATGTTCCCCACCCTGATACCCGAAAAGATGAAGATTTTATTATTTTTATATTATATAAAAATAAAAGTGAGTGTGTGGGGTTCTTACTAGGGAGGGTGTCTTTCTTTTGGAGCTCTCTGTGGTTTCTGGGGTGTGGATGCCTCTGATGTATAATGGAAATGCAATTAATGCCAGTCAACATGGGTTTATGGAAACTAGGTCTTGTCGAACAAATATGATCTCAGTTTTTGATATTACAAGTGTGATTGATAAAGATAACTACACGGGTGTAATATACTTAGACTTTAATGTATTTGACATAGTACCCCACATCAGGATTTAAAAAGAAAAAAAAATCAGCACTATACAATATCAATATACCACAGATCAATAGGCCAATGGATTAAAAAAAAAATGGTGGACAGATCTCAAAAAGTAGTTGTCAACGTTTTAGTAGGGGTACTACAGGGATAGGTATTAGGCCTGAGTCAATATTTTTATCAAAGACCTGGAAGTTAATATAAAAATAATTGCTGAGAAAATCTGTGGACGATACAAAGATCAGTGGAGTAGTAAATGAGAACAGGACAGTCATACAGAGTGATCTGGGTAGCGTGATAAGCTGGACCCATTAAAATAAAAAAGTTTTAATATAGCCAAATGCAAAGTCATCTCAAAAAACAAAGAATGTAGGCCATATCTACAGAATGTGGGACAGTATCCTGTACAGTAATGACTCTGAAAAGGATTTCAGGGTCACAGTGAACATGTAACTGAACATGAACTCCCAAGTGCGATGCTGTGGTAAACCAGGCTAATGTCATCCTTGGGGAATATACATGGGAAAGTACGAAGGTGGTTTAACCTTTGTATAATCACCACTGACACTAGAATAATGTGTCCAGTTCTGGCATCCACATTTGAAAAGGCACATTAAAAAAACTGGACAGTGTGCGGAGAACTGCTACACAACTGATACAAGGAGTGGGAAAAATGCCTTTCAGTGTGACAGACTTACATCTGCTCTATATGACATGGTTAGGTTGACATAAGCTGCCTTGCGTCGAACCTAGCTGTGGAAGTCTCTTCACTTAAATTTGCCTCCTGCCTACATAAGCGCCTCTCTACACCGATTTAGTAACACCACCTCCCAGAGCGGAGTAGAATCACAGTTGATGTAATTAGGTCAATGCAGTGTCTACACTGCTTATGTCAACTGTTACTGGCTTTCACAAGCCATCCCAAAATACCACCCCCTACCCCTCTCCCCCCCCCCCACACACACACAATACAATCAATACAAATGCTTATGGTGAGGAGGTGCACCACCACAAATGTGCACGCGCACACAAGCAATTTAACAACTGTGATGGCTGTATGACAACATAAGTTGACAATCTTATAGTGTCGACATGGCATTAGAAAGCTCAATCCATTAAGTTTATCAGAAACATTAATAGGGAGCCTTGATTATGCTGTTTAAGTACTTTTCACAACTGTAGTAGGCAGACTTGACACTGAATACATCTGTCAAGTAAGAGTCCTGGTCACAATCAATTTTCAGAGTAAAACCAAAACACTCAGGTCATGTCCTGGCAAAAAGGGTGTGTTTTTCCATTTTTATTTCAGCTCAATTCCTTTAGGTTAATGCAATTGAAAATTCTAGTAAAGATACAAGCTAGCATGTTTGAAGCCATGTTTTAGCCTAGGTGGGAGCAATTTAAGCAAAGGCTTGGGCAGATTCTTAGTTTGGTCAAACTGTTTTGTCCTTCCCCAATTCTCAGATAACAGTGAATCACCAAGGGCTTGTCTCCAGAGTTTTTGTACTGCTTTAGAAACCAACACAATTTAACAAGTACAACTCCCTAGTGTGGACGCAGTCATACCAGTATAGCTTCTCCCTGTGTATTTATGAGAAGTACTTAAAAGGTAAAGCACATTTTTATTTCAATCATATGTGTATTTGGCAGCACACACAACATGGCCTTTGTTTCACTATTATAATGGGTAGTAATGCACATAGGGTTTTTTGTGTGTGTCCTTTTTATTTTGTTTTTTAAAATGTTTCTCTGCTTATAAATGGGGGAACAGTTCTGCTAAAAATATATCCACAGGGTTGATGCTTTATGATGTAATTTAATTATCCTCTGTCATATTCAAGAAAATCTGTGGTGTCTATGCTTTTCTCTCCCTCCCCTTTTGCTACTAATTCAGAAAAATAGGTTTAATCTGTGGAAAGACAGACGCTGTAAGTCATGTTCTGTATGATGCTTTGAGTAGTTTGCTATCAGCAATGAACACCTGTTAGGAGTCTAGCTGACTCCTTTTTTTACAGAAGAAAATTGTATTAGAGCTTTGTCATGAAGTGACAATGGCTTACATGCTAACTAGGCTTTCAGTGTTCCAGGAGAGAGAGCGAGAGCACACGAGAGTCAGTCAGTCCTGAACATTTTTATTTTCTCAAAGTATTCGCTGTTTAAAAACAAAGAGCAAAAACCAGTGAAAGACAAAACTTATTCTGTTCACCGTTAAAGTACTTAATGTGGCTTCAAATAATTTTTCTATAGTTTCGTAACTGAAGGGCTTCACAAGCAGTACGAAGTAGACAGAAGAGTACGGGCTAAATCACTTAGAAATAAATTACTCAGGACAGCAGACATCATTTGAAGCTTGTTAAGATATACACAGCACGTATATTATCTCCCAGAGATACAAATAGTCCAACATTACTAACCTACAGTATTATAAATTAGATATCTGTAATGGTACTTGACTTTTATCCAAGTACTTTACAAACATTAATCCTCAGAACACTCTTGTTCAGTAGCCAGATCAATATTATAAACTCATTTTCTGAGACAGGCAAGTTACAGCTTCTCAGTCTGTTTCTCTAAGACCACAGATGCTGTCTTTGTCAGAGTCAGGATCAGAATTCAGTGCTTCTTTCTCACAGCATTAGACATCTCTACCACTCCAAGTAATGAACTGTGAAAAAGACTGCAGACAAAATTTTAAAACAAGACGCAAACTTGAAGTGATAGTTTCTTTGCTGCCTTTTGTACTTCAGACACATCCCTTGGTATTACTACAATTCTAGACCAGATCTAAACACAGATTTTGTACCAATTTTAAAAACTTTTCCAATTGGGGTATGATATCCAATAAACTAGCACTACAACCCCCTACTGTGGGTGAGCTTCTAACAGATCAGACCCAGCACAGAGGAATATTCACTCTCGCTGCTTTATTCCATATTTTTCCAGTTTATTGTTTGATAACTTTAGCAGGTTTTCAAATTACTGTCATTTTCCATTGCTTAATTAAGATTCACACATTTAGGCAAGTCTCATAAAACATTTTGTTTTCCTGACAACTTGTTAGTTTACTTATTTAAACTACCCTCGTAACTCAGATCAACATGACTAGTATTCTTTTAGAACATTTAACTTTAACACTGCAGTGAGTCACCATGTGGACTTTTAGTTGAGGCCAATTCACTCATTCACATATTTCAAATAATCTCCTCATAAATTCTTAGGATATGTTGGAAAATAAATGTTATGACAAAGTAAAATTGCACAGACAGCTGTCAAGAACCACCACATTTTCCATCCCAGCTCAGAGAACTTTTAAAAAGTACTTCATGCAGGTTTGATCGCAACCCAATATCCCTGAACTGACTCTCTGGCTGAATTTAGGACTGCTTTGTTAAGTAGCATGTAATATAGCAATGTCCTAAGTGCTATGACACCAAATGTGAGTTTGAGGATAAGTATACACAAAAGTGTTGATCTAAAGTGAGCTAGAACAAAGGGAAGACAAGTAATTGAGAAATACTAGTATTAAAGTAATTCTACATTATATACTTCTGAAAAAGGAGTAGCAATTCCATCATGCAAAACATTGTGAATCAAGGCAACCAAGAACACCTTAAGATCTTTTGCTCTTTATTTATGACATTTAAAGTCCCATTTGTTCATGTGTCTATCACTTTAAATATAACAATGTAATTTTGAACAACTTGCTTTGCCACAACTATAAGAATTTGTGAAGCTGCACAAAGGTCAAAAGAGGACACCTAAACAAGTTGTGTTAGTTTTGTCCTTGTCAACAGTGAAATGCACTTTTTAAAAAGACACTTAGCACAAAGAAAGATATCAGTCTCATCGATTTTCAAATCAACGGTCTTGAGAGTCAAGCTGGATAAACCACACCTTCCTTAAGCTCCACAGTGCTAATAACATCTTTAACACCTGTTCTTTTTGGAAGTTAAAGGCAGTTAGTCCCTGAAACCACTTAAGTTGTTTTAAGGATCAAGTATTATCACTTAGTGATAGGCCCTAGTGAAAGATGCACAATAAGGAATTACAAGCTGAAAATTACTAAAATCAAGTGCTTACCTTCAATCCTTTTTAAAGCTGACAGGCAAGCATCCTGGCTTGGAAACTCAAATGGATTACTACAGGTGCGAATGGTGTCACATTCGCATTTCCCATTGATTATGTTGCAACCTGTTACAAGGTTTTCATTGCAAGGTTCAAATCCAAGCAGCTGATCATCATCCCAATTTTCATCTGAAAAAACAAAATGAAGGCACTATGTTCATTGTACTTTCACTTAAGTCCACTTAATGCCATTAAAGTTGCCCACAAAAGTGCCAACATTAGGTGCACTCAACAAGCTTTGTTTTTTGCTATTAAAAAAATAATGCTATTCTAAACTGGACACCCTATGTTTGATATGCCACTTCTTTTGGCTATATAAAATATGAGGGCCACATGCAGCAATTTCATTTATTCAGAAAAAGATTAATCCAGACAATATGAATGCTGAATACTGTATTGTTTGTTACATTTCCCTGTTCTGCTATTAGCATTAATACTGAGGAAATAATTTGCATGCAATAAGATCAAGTGCGTGGGAAAAACACGTACTTTAAAGCAGCACTCTCACTTGTGCAAACTGCAATACCTTTAGCAAACTACTTTAAATTAGAATGATTTGCTGGAGAGAATCTGAATAGTCAGGATTATACAGGGGAGAGTCAAAATTGTTTTGCTGAGTCAGATAACGAGGGGACATTGGAAATTAACACAAGTTATAGGACCTATTGCATGCTATATGTAGTAAATCTGTGGAATTAACTTCTGCAAGAGGTCTGAATCGAATACTATAGTGAATTTAAGAGAGGTCTGATAATATCATAGACTAATGTCATCAACAACAGTGGCCTTTCTAGTGTATGCAAACACCCATCACTATACTAGGAAAAACTGCACAACTGTCTCACAGGCTCTTCGCTGCCAACTGCTAAGCAGCTTCTCTTTTAGTGATCAGACTGTACTTTTGAAACAAGAAGATTAAGTTCCATCCACAGTTACTGAATTTCACATTGCTATGGTGTAAGATATCATCATCAATTAAATATGCGGCTAGGGATAATTACATGTCTTTCCTGAATACTATAATGATCAACAGGTTTCAGAGTGGTAGCCATGTTAGTCTGTAGCAATAAAAAGAACGAGTAGTATTTGTGGCACCTGAGACTAACAAATTTATTTGAGCATAAGCTTTTGTGCATCCGACGAAGTGGGTTTTAGCCCACGGAAGCTTATGCTCAAATTTGTTAGTCTCTAAGGTGCCGCAAGTACTTCTCGTTCTTTTTATAATGATCAACATGTACCATAAAGCACAAATGCCCCAGAAGCCCCCCACAAGAGAACTACACAACAGGCTTAGTGCACTATGCACAATTGTTGCACAGGGAGTGGGAGATTTAAAAAAATAAAATCACATTAGTCATTGCCAAATGTAGGACGCTGGACTAGAAGGGACAGTGTTTGATCCAGCCTGGCAAATCCCCTGTTGCTATGAAACAGTCTGAAATTATTAACAATCAAATCCTACTAATGACGCGAAGAAAGGATTCATGAAAATCTTATTTTACCAATTCACCTAACGAGCAAAACAAAATATATTAACTAAAATCCTTTGCACTGGTGCTGCAAAGCAGTTTCCTATAAAGTTGAAGATAAGTTTTAAAGATCACAGCAAACTGTAGTTGCTTTAAAAACCATAATGAGACTAGGCAGCAGGACAAGAAAGTGCAAGGGAGTTTCAAACATCATGGAGAATAAAACACTTGAGCAAGAGATACTTCTGGACTAACTGGAGTACAGTCTGGTGAAAGTGTGAACTGAATTCTAGATTATTTCTTCGCATATCTCCACCAGAGGAACATGTCTAATGTATACCACTGATGGTGTTGCTGTGGCTATTTAAACCAGGAGGTACTGGTTTCCTAGCGAAGATGTAACATCGTATCTAGTAGGAAAAAGTGTCTGGTAATATGTTTCCATGGGTATCTATCCCTATGATACAAACTGCCTGCTTCAATTTCTAAAGGACTTGGTCTTTTCCAGATATGAATGGAGTCCTCTTTTCACATCTATGGTATGGGGAGACAGGTTTCCCCAGAACATGAAAGGTCTCAGGAAGAACAGAGGGAAATGCATTGGACAGGTGAAAAGCTGAGATGGGACATCACTGGTGACTGTCTTTGTAGACCACAGTACAAAAGGTGGTATGGTCATCAACATATTAAACTCACTTGCCCTCTTGGTAGATGTAATCACTTTGAGGAAGTCTGTTTTGATCAATAAATGCTCTAGAAAGGGTTAAATGAGATGGCTCATAAGGAGGGTTTATTAGCTTTATTAGGACAAGATTTAGCTTCAATTATAGTGGGGCT